AGAATATTTTGTAAAAATTTTGCAATAAATATTTTGTAAATAAAGGTACATTTTGCTACAAGTTCCCATTTTCCCTAGACATGATGACTTTAGGGTAAGGTGACCAGATTTTAACATTGGTAAAGCAGGACATCATTGACAGTGGGTGGAGGGGGATGCAGGGGGTTCTTAATTAAAAATTTGGTCTATATGGAGCAACAAAAATTTTCATAGAATGCAAAAATAGTATTGTAATACTTTTTAAAATTTCAGCAGAAGTACAATTTACAAATATAATACATTAAAAAATTATGTACAGTATTATTTTATTCTTTGGCATATTTCTCATTTGAGTGAATTTTTTTTAGTAGATTGCTGTCATTGTTTAAAAGGTCATGAAAATTTTCACAAGAATTTGTTAAATTATATTTCACACATAAAATGGCTTTCACAGTCTCAGCATTTAATTGTGATTTTTCAGATGTTCATACTTTATTTACCATAGAAAAAACATGTTCAGTTGCAGCATTAGTTCCTACTAAGGACAGCGTGTATCCCACAATTTTTAGTGCATTATTGTATGGAACATGGTTTGTTTCAAAATGATGAAATATTTCTAACCATCTGTTCTCTATTTTGATTTTTGCTGATGCTCAAGATTTAACCTTTTCCTTATCAATATTTTTTTTAATCATGATACCTCGTAAGTTGTAAGTGTCACTTTCAAGGCTGGCGCTAGACTTTTTGCTGCCACTATAAAATGTAAATAATACGAGTACTGTCTACTAAATTCATGAAATAAATAAATTACTTACCTAATTTATCTGAATAGCTGATTTGTTGACATCACTTGTTTAACTAGCACTAGCACACAGTACGATGTGTATCGTCTGAGAGACAGTCACAAAATGTTTTCGTCATTGCCAATGCCAAAAAATGGTATTGTTCATTAAGTCCAAACAATGGTGGTCGAATTTTAACAACTGATCAACAATGCGAACTTTGATAAGCAGTTCTTGATAATCAGTTCTCAACAATTATTTGTTGTTATTAAAGTTTAACATTATAAAATTAACAAAAATGATATAAAATGCATATCCTGGCAAAATAGCCACATGGCAGCCAAAAACCGTCTATTCCCTTCCCATTCTCCTACCTTTCCCTAGCTTGTTGTGCATTCTTTCCAAAAATCGGGACTTTTAAAAAACGCCTTGGAGCGTGGGACAAATTGTTAAAAATTGGGACTGTCCCGGCAAAAGCAGGGTGTCTGATCACCTTACTTTAGGGGCAACTTTTGGGACACTATGAATATTTATCTGGTTGGCCTTTCCTCTCCAAATGCTTCCATCAATAAATATTTCCAGGGAGGGAAATGTGTCTTTTTCAAATAAAGGAATACCAATTACACTTTCCTTCCAGGGGCTGAACACAACTACTTACTTTATATTTAAATAACTAAGAGAGGCTACTGCAGTGTTCTGAACAGAGAAACTCTATTCCAAGGCAGCTTGCTGTTTGCAACTTGCCAATAGCAACTTCTGCTGAAATCAAACAAATAAACTCCCCAAGCCCCCAATTCTGCTTATTCAGATACTCCAAAATATTTGAATATAGATGAAGAGGAGGCAGGAGAAGGAAAGAATGAAGATATTGGAGGGGAGAGGTAAGGACTAGAGCAAGGTCCTTGGAGGTGGAAGGCAGTGGGATCCCAGTACTTGTGGGAGAGGTGAGTCTGGATGGGAGATTCACCTCTCCCCTCCCAAGGAGGGCAGAGTGGTTGTGGTTACAGGTGTGTAGTGATAGGTTCACGGATGGGGAAAAGCTAGTTGCCCTGCATTTTCTGTGGAAAGAAAGTAAGATTATTTATCAGCAGGGAGGAGGTGAAGGATAAGGGTGGGTTTCAACTACCTGAGAAGAATGGGAGACTTTGGGCCAGCCACTGTGGAAGATGGGGGGTGGGGTGTGCCACCTAGAATAAACAGGGTTTCCAGCCAGGGTTTGCGGCCCAGGGGAGGCTGAAGTCCTTGGATTCACATGCCGCCTCTCTCAGCCCTGGATGAATGTTCTCCTTTAGCACATAGCAGCTTTGGGGCCAGCTCTGTGCATTTCCTGACCCTCCCCCCCACGCCCCCGTTAAGGGATTATTGAAATCCCAGTGATGATCTATAGAAGTGACCTGAGTATGTTCTGAACTTTAAAAAAACTATATTAATTTTTGATATTTGGATTTGATTTGATATTTAGGTGTTTGAATTTTGATATTTGAGTTGGTTTTGTCCCAAATGGGTATGTTGAGAAATGGCATTCTGGACGTGGCCTCCAGTCTGGCCTACATTCCCAGAATCCTGGACTAACCCTAAATCCCAGATTTCAGGTATTCATTTGATATAAACAACATTGGATTTTTTATTTAGGACATATGAAGCCTGGTTAGTCAAATGGCTCAGTTTCTTTTCCCTGTTCTGCTTAAAAACTGGTGATATTTTCAGGTGGTTGAATTTCCTTTTTTTAAGCATCAGCCCCAGCAGTATTTTTATTTTTCTGAAGTGTCATCTTAAATCTGTCTTTACTTTTGCATCATTTTAAAATTGTTATGCTAAACATCTGATGAACTCTTTCTATTTCTCTTTATCATTTGCTATGTTAAATAGAACTGGTCCTTATTTTTCTTTTGATTGGAAACAATTCTTTATCATGTATTATATTATATCAGTGTATTAAAATAAGGGAAAACGATTGCACAGTTCTCTGTATGTTTTCTAAATATGGTGGAAAGGAAAATTAAGTAGAGTGGAGAGCAAACATTAGCTCATTTCTGTTTTCTAATAACAAAATTTGTCCCCTCTCATATAAATTTCATAATGAGATTAGACTGTTTTATTGGACATTTAAAGCCCTGCGTGACATAACCCATATTTACTCAAAATTTATTTCACCATTTTCCTTCCCACATGCTGTTCCATAGCCAGCATTAGTTTAGCACCTTTGCTTTGTAAAAAATATTTCTGGTTCTTAGCATTAGGTAGGGCTTGTCAAGTCTAAGTAGTCACTTTATAATTTTCAGCCACTTTTTATATCCCTTCCCTGCACAAGAAGTAACAGTTGTTACTTACTTTAAATATTGACCTATTCAACAGGATATGTTTATACCCAATGAGTTCATACAAGCTTATTTACAATCTTAGTTGCCTTAAGGGGCTCACAGTGGATGTAGCCCATTCCTTTGACCCATGCCTGCAGTGGGGTTTAAGTGAATCAGATTGCTGGCTGGGGAAGCTTTCCAGGAGTTGACACTAGAGCCCTGTTTTTAACCACAGGTGAAGCTGCATAAATAAGGTGGGGAAAGCTGCTCTGGGAAATGGCTCAGCTATGGGAAGACATGAAGTCTCTAAACACAGTGTAGTTGGAAAAATCCAAACTGTAAAATAATTTAAAGAGGTTTATTCTGCACCAGATATAAGTGACTGTGGCCTGGGGGACAAATTCTCAAGACATCTTGAGAAAATATATCTGAGGTGACCAGATTGCAGGTTGGTTTTATGTGTTTATGAGGACAGGAATTACAGGTAAAGTAATAATCATTACATTGGAAGGTATACATTGGTTTGGCCCAAAAGGCAGGCCATTTCAAGGAGGGAGCTTATAAATTATAGGTGGGTTTTAGGGGTTCTTTATGGGGTTGACAATTGGTTGAAAGAGTTAAGCTTTGTCTAAAGACCTGGAATCAGTGGAAAGGATGCTTGAGTTAAGACATTGGTCTGCTTGGATGCCTGGGTTAAGATAAAGGGGTCTGTCATGTGACACTATACAGGGACCAGGTTGAAAAGTAAACCATTAATGTTATATTATTTGTAGGTGTGACTCACAGGGCCTCTTAGAAAAGAATCTGAGCAAAAGAAAAAGGTCAGAGTTTAGTCCTTAATAGTGATGGTCAGGTTTTCTACTTGGCTCAATATTTTGTGAGATTAAAGTATAGGGAGTTGTGTGTGGAAGGTTACTCTACAAAGGTAGGTGGGGGCCAGACTAAAAAAGGCCAAAGAATTGGTAACAGGGATTATAGGAGAGAGAGTAGAGGGGCCCTTTCCTTGTTATGACTACAGTGTATGTGCTCCTGAGGGCTCATGGAGAATTTGCCAAAAACAGCTTATTCCCAGTCCAGTCCTCTCCTAGAATGTCTGGTAAGTCATTTACTGATATAAATGCCCCTCTAAGACATCATGGGGTTAATAATCATGCTGTGTCCAACAGAAAGTAACTCAAGAAGTAATATTTATGTGGCCTGTAAGAATGACTTTGTTTTAATATGGATTTTTTTTAATGGAAATATTTTCTTAGTAGTCAACTTAGTATACCAAAAGCTATCTGGCTATTTGGCCTGGAGGTATAAGGAATTCATTATTGGTGTTAATTAAGTTTAGCCTAAAGTTGCTTCTTTACATATTTTAAGTCTGGGCTAAAAGTTTCTCTATACAGTATGAACTATAACCCAACTGGATATACAAACAGATTATAACCTGTTTTTGTACCAATTACCAAGTTTCAGCCAATCAAAGGCAGCCAACTGTTTAAACCATGTTACGTAAGACAAATGTTGACCTCTAACCAATCTGGCTATTTCTGTATTTCACTTCCATTTTCTATATCACTTTCCTTTTTCTGTCCATAAATCCCTCCAATAGAGCCTCTCTACATCTCTTCTGCTTTGGGGTTGGGGAATTTGCCCTATTCGTGAATTGTTTTTGGCTCAATTAAACTCTTAAATTTGTCTGTAAGTTTTTTCTCTTAACATTGGTGTGATCCTGGTATTAGTCTTTTATTTAAACTAGTGGAAGCACACATTTTTAACTGCACTGAATACATTAAATATGATCTAGAGGTAAACTTCCAGCTTTCTTAACAAAAATGGGAGTTTTTAGACCCCCAAACATAATGGAACTTTTACATTTATGAAAAATGATGTCTTACACTTGAAAATAGATAATAGTGTCCAACAGAGATAACTAATAAATATTTTAAATTAGATCCTGCGTTCATGGAAGGAGTATGACCTGGCAGTAATGATTATAAATTACGGGAAAAAAACACTGGACATCACAACATCATGTAAATCTCTATTTGGTAGTGATCAAGAAGATTTTCTAGACGAGGTAATTATTATTTGTTTCTCATTTTAAAACATAAATATGTTGGGTCTTTTAGGAATCACAAAATGTTATTAAACATATATGAAAATTAGTTTTTAATCTGTCATATTTATATAGAAGTAAAATAAAATAGTGAAGAGTTTTTTTTTTTAACTTGAGTTATGGTCAAGAAAATGAAAAAGTAATCTATAGTAGCCTATTGAATAGTCTCTATCACCAGTATTGATCATTAGTTAGGCAATGAAGGTGAGCTGCTTATATTCAGTTGGACGTTGAACTGAAAGTCCTCTGCAGACTTCCAAATCTAAGATTTTATTTTCCTAGGGGGATAATTGAATATAGTAAATAAATGCCAAAGCTTTTTCTCTTGTGTTCAAAGCAGATTTCTGAAACTGTGACACCTCAATTCTCTTCTTCATGACACTGCTGATTTTTTAGACTGCAGTCCAACTGTGGATCCTACAAGAGCTTATTATGTTTTACCGCTTTTCTTTGTCTTTCAGTGGCTTGGGTGGGGATAGAGACTCTTGCTCCCCCAGCCTGTCTCAGAGTTGGTTCATTTCTATCTCTGTTATATGTCGAATTTTCAAATAAGCACTTGTTTGTCAAAAAACAAGCAAAACACAAACACAAACAAACAAACAAACAAACACCCCAGAAAATTATCATCCCTGTCTTACTGGATGACTTTTTTGCAATAAGTCCTTTTTTCCAGAGGTAGTGTGGGGGGTGTTGTTTTGTTTAGAGCAGTGGTTCTCAACCTTCCTAATGCCACAACCCTTTAATACCGTTCCTCATGTTGTGGTAACCCCCAACCATAAAATTATTTTCATTGCTACTTCATAACTGTGATTTTGCTACTGTTATGAACCATAATGTAAATATCTGATATGCAGGATGTATTTAGGTGATCCCTGTGAAAGGGTTGTTCAATTCCCAAAGGGGTCACGACCCACAGGTTGAGAACCGCTGGTCTAGAGGGAGTTATGATTAAGCTGGAGGCAATTTGAGGGTTTTTCTCACCAAGTGTTTTCTCTCAGGTCCATTGGCCAGCCCCTTTATTAGCCAGGCCTGGCTCAGGCCCCTGTCTCTCCACATCATTGTAGGGTAGAGCCTCATGCCTCTTTTCTTAAAGCTGCTCATTCAGCAGAAGGTTGTGATACTTCCTTCTTTCTAATATTGTAGGGACTGTTAGTTTACAGGAGTTAGAAGTCCTTAGAGCCACTCAAGGTCCCTTAAAGCCTACAGGGCTGTGGAAGGTTTCTTTCTTTATTTTTTATTTTTATTTTTGGAGTACAAGAAACACTGATGGGCACTTCTCAGGCTCAGACAGAGAAAACATGGTGGGGAGCCTGAGTGCAGATAGGCCGGTCCTTAATCCACTAATTATTGATCCTGTTATATTTCAATAAAAGGCAAAGTAGCAAAGGCAATTAGCTCAGTTGTACAGAAGCTCTTTCTGGGAAAAAGAAAGGAAAAAAAAGAATAAAGGGATACATTTCTGAGGGCAGGCTGGGAATTTTCTTTTGAAGATTTTTAGAGTCATGTTCCTCAGCTGCTTTAAGAGTGCAGGTGTCAGAGGGGGCTGGGTAGAGGGGTGGAAGATACTGGGAGAGAGGGAGAGGGAAAAGAAGAAGTATTTTGGTTAATCTTCATGAAATACTATGTATTATGTCTGATGTTTAGTTACAACACAATAGCTATTATTAATTAGCTATGGTAGCTATGTAAACCATAGTTTTAGCTACCAAGTATGAAAGTATGAAAATATAATTTAAGAGTGCTGTTTGAAAATGACAGTTGTTGCAATATATTAAAGTACATTCTGCCATTTAACCAATGTTTTTAGGGTTCTTCTAAGAGGTCTTTAAAGATTAAGAAGCTACAGCAGATTCCGTTGCCTGAAAGAATACATGAACAGCTGGGTTTGTTGGAATCACACCTACTCAAACTGACAAAGCAATGTAATCAATTTTTTTTCCCTGTATACTTCTGTTTAGCATTATGTTTTTAAAAAAGAGAAAATATTTTTTTCAAAGGATTAAGACAAGATTAGCATTTGGTAAACCCTTTATGGTTTGCACAGTACTTTGACACTACATCATTAATCTTAACAATATCCTGTTAATAAGGGATAGCTAACGTCTCTTTAAGGATGTGGCTCATAAAGATTAAGTGACTTATTTAGGATTACATAGTTGCCTTGGACTTGAGCCTCCATCTTCTGACTTTGATGCAGGTTTTCTCAATTTCAACACTACTGTCATTTAGGGACAGACAGTTCTTTGTTGTGGGGTCTGCCCTTGGCACTATAGGCCTTGGAGCATCTCTGGCCTCTATCCACAGAAGCATAGCAAACCACCCTCCCAGTTGTGGCCATCAACTGGGTGGGTGGATGGGGGGAAATGTTGCCAAATGGATCTTTGGTGGGGTTTAAAGGTAACACAAAATTGAGAGTGACTATTCTAAAGGCAAAAATGTAACTGAGAAATAAAGGGATAGTGTAAGGGGTGTAAATGTGTAAGTGGTTTGAACCATGGCCTTCTAGAGTAGAAAGTAAAGTAAACTAAACTTTAGTAGTTTCATAATGGACCAATGTGTTATGCAATGATTGGTATTTTGGAGTTTGTAGCTTGGCAAGATGCTTGGGAAGTTGATTTAGGTTCTGATAATGATTAGTATTGTCACATTTTTTTAAAAGCAGATACTTCAAATCTTCTAGAAGGTCAAGAGAGCACCTAAATTTGAGCCTCAAACTATGTATGAGGCTCTGCTTTTGTCCCTCTAATCTTTCCGTCCTGACTACACTTGTACAATCCTGTCCCCACGTCATCTCTTTTACTGAATGCCTCAGTTATATCTTGGTGGTCAAACTGTAGCAGGATTTCCTGATTTGAATCTGTCTCTTTTTCAATGAGACATGTTCCTTGTCTGTTTCAAGCTGAATTTTCGAATCAAACCTGATGTTCTATTATTCCCATGGTCAGTAAACCTTATTTTGGGAAAGTTGTGATTGTATTTTTTACTTATAGAAAGTATAATTCCATAAAAAGTAAATTGTTCTAGAAATGTGAATTATTATTATTATTTTGTTTAGTAGGCCTGGGTTTAGGTTTGAACCTACCAGTTCTGGCGTATGGGGCCAGTGCTGTAACCACTGAAAAACGGGCACTGGGTTTGAATTACTTACTTTTATAATATCAATAAACACATTTTATTAAGAAATACAGTGCAATATTATTAGTTAAACAGTAAATTCAATAACAACAATACTATAGTGTTTTCTGTATGCAAGTCACTATTTAAAATATTTTATATACATTAAAACTCATATAACATACATAACAACATATGAGAAAGGTATTGGCATTATCTCCATTTTAAAGATAAGGAAATTGAGGCAAGAGGAAGATAAGTAACTTGAAAGGTCTCACAACTAAAACATGTTAAGGTTAGAATTTGAACCTAGCAAGTCTGGCTCTGCTGACTGTGCCATTCTTTACTGCCTTTTAAATATAATTTTGTTAAAATGGAATTAATATAATTGGTAGGTTTCTATGTCTTGGGTTTCCTGATGTATGACAGTTTTTGAATAAGAGAGAATTGTGCCTTAGACACTCTTCACCTATTTGGTGGTGGACTGCTTAGCTTTTAGTGAAAAATATAAAAAGAAGTAACTGAATGACCCTTTTTATCTCTAAAATGTAATTATATAATTGATATTTTTAGGTATGTAATTTAGAATGAGTACTTGAGTATTTTCCTATTTTTTATCCTGTCCAAGAATTTTTATTGTTATTCACACTTAAGAGAACCTACAACTTATTGATTTCTTTTAACTTTAGATAGCTTTGAACTCTCAGGAACAGAAGACCCTATATTTCTGCACCCTGTAGTTGTAAACTGGTCAATCAAAACTGCTGTGAGAGAAGGTAGGTGACCTGAATGTCAACTTACCACAGAAGATGGTTTATTCTGTAGATTTTCTTTCTGTTTTCTACTTAAAGATTTTACCTGCCCTAAGTAGGTTCTTATTTATTCAGAATAATGCAAAATCTTTATTGCCAATTAATGAAAGAGAACTAAGCAGGTACCTGATTTAAAGTCTGGAAAGACAGAACATTGGTGGCTTACTTTGGTAGTGAGTGGTGTTTTTATGAAGCTTACAAAAACTAAGGCATTGAAAAAAAGCATTAGTGACTTCTAAGTTTAGCTGTGAAGAAATAGCAACATTATCACTTAATGTAGAGTGAAATGTAATAAAAATTAGGATTGCTAGTTATGATAATTATCAGCACTTTCCCCCCAAATTAGTCATCTGTTAGAAACAACTTTAATGAAATATGTCATAACACTGAGATAATTAGAAGGTAAAAGATATATAGATGACAAAAGATAAATTGATCTTAGAAAACCAATAGTTTATACTACATTTACTCCTATATATTTTTGAAAAGCGAGAGATCTAAAAGGAAGATTAATAAACTCGCCTCTTGGGACAAAATGACTATTAGTACTAGTAATCTTTCAATGTCAATAGCTGAGTGTATTGATAACTATACACTATCTTCCTTGTTTTTACAGTTATGAAATTTAAGCATAGACCTAGATTCCTGGAATTCTTTACACAAATTATGCTAAAATGCTTGAATGATGAAAAGTTTCACCTTATGGTGGAGATAACAGTTCCTGTTCATGAATTCATGAGAAGGTACTTGTAATATAGGTTTGATATGTGTTAACAACTTTAAAAAATGAGTGACATTGTCACTTTAAGAAATATAAGGTAGATAAAAAAGAGGGTGGGGTATATGCAGTTAAAACAAACACCTGGGAAATAGTGAAGATTTATGTCTATGTGTGCAAATAAATAACCAAATGAAAAAAAAGTTTATACAGTTGAACTAAGAAATGAGAATTGAGCATGTTTAGATATCCAGCAGGAAGTAGATCAGGTCTTTTGGTATTGGGTCAGGATAGATAATAGTATTTCTAAGCCATCACCTCTCACACAGAGTTTGGGGTTCAGTCTTGGTCATTTGTTATGTGTTTCTAATTCTTTTAAAATAAGGAACAGAGCCATTTGGGGGGGGTTTCTATTTGTATACGTGAAGAGGGAATTTTTCAAATAAACATAATAAAACTTAGACCTGTGCCTTTCATTCTCTAAGCCCAAATCATTCTCTTTGCTCCTGAAGAAAATGATAGTGTCTCATGCCACTTATGAGAAATGCCAAATGAATCCAATTTTTCTCTTGACGACTAACAAGTGGTCATTACTGGGCATAGATCTATCTATCTTGTTTTAATAAAAGTAAACATCACTAACCTAAGATCTATTTTTAAAATGGCAGCAAAAGAGCAGCATTCCATTAAAAATATAGGATGTATTTATTCTTCCAAAAATGGGCATTTATAAGAACAAAAACTCAGAATATAATTGCTTCATTTTTTCAAAAGCTAACAGGGGAAATTCTTTCCATTAAGTGAAGCAGGCCATGGTAATAAGAGAATTGGTCAGAATTAGAGAGTTGTGTTACATCAAACAAACAACAAGCTACAACCAAAATGGGATGCTTAGAAGCTTGAATAATATTCTTAGTACTAAAGAAAATCAGAAGACACTCTCAGTGTGCAGGGGAATTTGAAGCGCTGACTGTGGAAGTCCACTCTAAGAACACATATTTTGGAAGAGGAAGACAAAGCAGCTTAGAAGCATTGAACAGCTGTATGATGAAAGACTTGAAGTTGAGGACTGAGCTGTATAACTAAGTTCAAAACAAAGCTAATAATTTGAACTTTGAAGGCTGAGAAGATGCTTTGGGTGCTCTTCACCAAGTCAGAAAATAGAGGAAAAGGTGCAGATACACTATCTTGATTTCTACTTTGATAGTCGTATCTATTTTCTACTTGTGTTTAAATGCCTTGCATGTTTTTACAGTTTTTTCTAATATTGCAGCAGACAAATATGCATCCATATTTTCTTCTAATTTCATAATTTACATTCAGTATTCATATCCATATAGAATTTATTCTCCTACGGGGAAGTCAAATTAATCTTTAAGGTTTTTTCCCCCAGTTTATCAGTTATCCTGGTACATTTAAAGAATAATCTCCTTCATCACTTATTCTTAATGTTCTACTTCTTTATATTCACAGTAGCTATGTCTGCCAATAATGCTTATAATCAAGATGAAGATATTTCATGAGCTTTCATGTTCTACTTCACAAAAAATGAAATTATATGGAAATTAATGGAAATGAAAAGAACAATAATTTGACAGAAACATAGTATTGATAAAGTTTAATATGCCACTTCAAAAAAGACCAAAATAAAAAGAACATAGATGTACAAAATATAATTAAGATTACTTTAACATGTATATCCAGTAGAGTCTAAATAGTCATTAAAGTACTTAAGAAATAAAAAAAAGTATGTTTAAATGCAAAATAAAGCTCAATAGATAACCAAGACTGAAATCTGTGAAGACTGCCTTCTCTACAATGCAATAAAACTGTACATAACAAATAAATTGCTCACATGTACATTTTGAAAATAATGGTAATGAGAAACCCTACACATCAAATGCATCTGAAGCAGCAGTTAGCGACAAATTCTTAACGTTAGGAGCTTCTATTACTAAACATGAAAAATAAAATTAAACGAGCTTACATGAAAAGTAAAATTAAAAGAGCTTTTATCAAAAGAAATTGGAAATAACAAAACAAATTTAAGAATGCAGGAAGAAGAAAATAATTGAAATTAATTAATTATATGTTGGTTTTAAAATAGTCCAATTGGTAACTACTAGAGCTGGTTCTTTGAAAATATGAATAAATTAGAAAATTTCTGAACAGTGTGATAAGAAAATGAGAAATACAAGTAGTACAAACAGAAAATAATCCCAGATTTGGAAGTGATTAAACAAACATTAGACAATAGCGTGTATAATGTAGTATTAATAAGTTAAATATAGTATAATATAATTATAGTGTGTATAATGTAGTATTAGTGTAATTATATTTAGTAATACTTATTAGTGTAGTATTAATGAGTAA